TTCTCGGAGAAGGTGTTCTGACCAAGGCCGATTGAGACACTAACAAACACACATTAGTCCCAAAACCCTTTTTTCTTTATTTCAACGGCTGTGAATTTTAGTCATTCACAGCCCCTAATGAGTCTCCAACAGTTTGTAAATAGTCCCATGGAAGTCTGCCAAAGTCCTTCAGGATAAGTCTGATAAGCCCACACCTTTATCTTCCTTGAAATGCTGCCAATGACTAAATTTCCAATTAGTTATACAAAGCCAACCGGAACACAAATCGACCAGTACGAACAAAGTTGCTTCCTGCAAAGGTTCCTGTCCCTTTGCTCTTCCTTTATGTCTTATGGGAGGGCCAATCACCTCCAAGCCTTACTCCCGAGTCAATCCTTTTGTCTTAACTTGTACACATGCATGCACTGGGAACAGGCTCCCCTTGTTCCTCTGCCTCACTGCTGTCAGATTCTGGAGGCTCTGGAGTCTGCACATAACTCCCAGATGGTCCTGTCCCCATCTCTGTATCAGATGCAGGACCCTTGTCCGAATCCTCCCAAGACTCCCGGACTGGCCCATGTTCCTCCCCACTGTCCCAACTCTGCTGCCGTCTCCACAGGCTGCCACAACAGGAGGGACAGATGGACCCTCCCATCTCCAGAGGTCGGGGAAAGAGAAGGAAGAGATTGGTCCTGCAGCCATTTCAAGACGCCAAGTGTGAACAGCTTGCCACAACTGTTAGGCCAGGGGTCGGCAACCCGCAGCTCTAGAGCCGCATGTGGCTCTTGCATCCCTCTGCTGCGGCTCCCCGTCGCTGGTCGGCTCCAAAATTGATAGGGCTTTCGGTTAGGACAGGTAGAGGAAAAAGGATGCTGTGCTAGGGAGGAGACTCTGTGGTTGGGGAACCGAACTTCCGGTCGGCTCCAGAATTGAATGAAGGGGGGGGTGGAGGGCTTCCGATTAGGACCTTTGTGGCTCTTTGGATGCTTAAGGCTGCCAACCTCTGTGTTAGGCAAGTAACTGCAATTGTCAAGTTAGTCACACGGTTAAGTGAATCTGGCTTCCCCCATTGACTTCCCTTGTCAGAAGGCCGCAAAAGGGGACCCATATGGGACACTGCAACTGTCATAAATATGAGTCAGTTGCCAAGCTCAGTTTTAATTTTGATCTCGTGACCCTGGGGATGCTGCAATGGTAGTGACTTTTTTTTCCCAGTGCTGTTGTAACTTAAACAGTCACTAAATGAATTGCTGTAAGTCAAGGACTATAGGTATTGCTTTGTTAACCCTGTGCAAGATTCTCAACGCCCTTGACATGTGCTTAGGAACCCACGCAATTCCTTTGTACCCCTTTGTGCTCACCAAATGCAGAGCTATTAAGGCGGGCTGAAGGGGTCTGGAGGTTGCAGCTGCTTTTAGAAACGCAGGGGAGAGGGGAAAATCTGTAGTTGTTACAGGGGTGTAGATAATGAAGGTGGTTGAGAAATTCAGCCTGGGGCTTCCTTTCCCCCTCCCCTATTCTCATTTTATCTGTAAAACTGCCAGAGGGCTTACAAAGAGTTTACAAGAGGAGGAAGGGGAGGGAAAGCCGAGAAGATAACACACAGCCAAGCCCGAAAGGGCTAAATTGAAATCTCCAGAAAGAAGGAAAAGACTATTTTTTTTTTTTTGCAAAAATAGGATGGGTGAGAGTTTCAGAAGACCCACAGTGCCATCTAGTGGCCAAGGTGCTGCATTAATGCCTTGCCTTAGCTTTGTGGCCTGCTGTGACTTTTGCACATTTGTGACCAGGTGCATTTACAAACAGAATGGCTTCATTCGTCCAAAAGTTGGCTAGGAAGACATGATCTCAGGACGCTACAACCATCCTAAATACATGGTTGTCAGGTATCTGCATTTTGATCACATGACCACGGGGTCAACAGTCATAATGCAAAGACCAATTGTAAGTCATCTTGGTTTCTTTAGCGCTGTTGTAATTTCAAGCAGTCATTAAACACATTATTGTAAGCCTAGGAGTATCTGTACTGCCTCTTGGGAGTATATAACCTCCAGTATTAGACAAAGCAACTGGAGATGTGAATTGTAATTCACCTCTGGAAGGTGGGCTGTTCCCCACCTCTGTAAAGTGGTCTTCCATACTTGGTTAAAAAGCTAAGACAAGTAAAAACCAGAATAACTTCTGACATGGGACTTTTTAAAAAAAAATAAAAAAAACAGCAACCAAGATAAACCCTGTTTCATGATGGGGACTGGAGGCTAAAACATATGAAGAACGCTTGCAGGAACTGGGCATGGCTGGTCTAGTGAAGAGAAGGACCAGGGGAGATAGGAGAGCAGTCTTCCAATGTTTGAGGGGCTGCCACAGAGAGGAGGAAGGGGTCAAGCTGTTTTCCAAGGCACCCGAAGGCCAGACAAGGAATAATGGATGGAAACTAACCAAGGAGAGATTCAACCTAGAAATAAGGAGAAATTTTCTGACAGAGGACAATCAACAAATGGAACAGCTTGCCTTCGGAAGTTATGGGAGCTTCATCCCTGGACGCTTTCAAGAAGAGACTGGACTGCCGTCTGTCAGAAATGTGTAGGGTCTCCTTGTTGGGCATGGGGTTGGACTAGATGACCTACAAGGTCCCTTCCAACTCTGTTAATCTGTAAAGGAAAATGATGCAGTAAAGCTGAGTGTTCCCAAAGAGAACCATTTCCCTTTTGTGGGTCTTAATCTCTGTTCAATCCCTTTATGCATCTCTCAGCCGACCAATGCAGAAGAGAATGAGAAAGCCAGATAAACCAGGTTAAAAACCTGAGAAGAAGGAAAGGCTGGCAGAGAAATCTTCTGTTAACCGAAGCTGACTTTTTATCTCTCTGCCTCTTTCGACTGACACTACATTAGGGAAGCTGACACCCCAAATCCCTGGAGGTCCAAATCCAATTTGAAATCAAATGGAAAAGACCAGCCTAGGTTGGAAGAGAACAAATTGATTCTGTCAGGAGAAAAATTAGCACAGAAACAGGTTTATCTCTTCTTTCGAGACTCTTAAAATAACCGCCTGGAGGCTTTAATAAAAGGGAGGGAAGGGGTCAGTCAGTCAGCCCTGACCTGATTTTAAAAATTAACAAGAGTTTCTAAGCCTGAATTTGACCAAGCTGGAGGTCACAGTCCATTGTGTGAATGGGAAGAGAAGTTGGTTAACTCTGAATTATATTTAGAAGAAAGAGAAGCTGTCTCTTAATGCTGTGATTTGTATTCAGCGGACAGGTTTGGCTCTGATTAGCAAGCCATCATTGGCATCCCTCTCCTCCATCCATCAAAAACCTTACAGGCTTCAACCATTCATCAAAGCATCACAACCAGCAATGTTGGACTCTATCCCACAGGCCTTCCTGGTTCTGCAAAGCCACGGATTAGATATAATAAAATGGAAAAAGTATGATCTGTCGGGGATCATCCTGAATATATTTTTAAAAAGATAGTTGCCAGCTTTTGCTGGTCTCCTAAAATACAAGCCCTTGCTGAGTTTAGAACACCTGAGGGGTGGGTGGAATTGGACTTAATCCCAACATAAAACCAGTAGTTTATGTTTAAGAATTTACTAGGATTATTATTTTTCTTCAAGAATAAAATTTGGAGACGAGTCTTACCAGACCCCTCCTGGTTTTGGATCGTCCTTCAAGGTCTACAATATCTTCTGGTATTTTTCAAAAGAGAAATCTCTCCACCTTTACAATGCTACAAAATTAATTGTTTATGTGCCATCAATTTGTTGTTGACTCTTCAATAGATACATTTCCCCCCATCATGTCAACTTTTACATTTTTTGATCCCTGTGGTTTTGTTGGCTTAAAAAGAAAAGGAGTTTAACCACTGTCATCTCTTGCAAAAGTCTGTTCCAGTGGCACCAGTATTGGTTGGGAGACAACATTGCTGGTTGTCTTGGTGGTTTCTTGATCAGGGTGTCGTTTACCGGAGCCACCTAGAACTCTCCCACCAACACAAATAGGGCAAGCCACTGGAACAGCACAAACCCCACTCAGATGTCTCCTGGTTGGGTCATAAAACGTTTCAATGTTTAGCTGCCTGGATTCTTCAATTCATTCTCCTTTTTTTGGCCCCAATAATTAACCTTGGCAATAGCCAGCAGCTGTTTTCATTCCAAGTCCCTCCTTTTAATTTTCACAGCCAATGAGGGAACAAGGGAGAATGGACTCTTAATTTGTATTTATATAAGAAGCCTGCCTTGCTAATCCTAGTTGGGATTGGTGAATGGTGGTTTCTTTTTTCTCTGTCCTTGAGACCTGGAAGCATTGGGCCGGAGTGATATTTTGAATAGGTTAGTGCATTTGAGCGTATAGCTGTATTTCATGTGATTATGTTATTAGAAAATGCTATTATGGTACACAAATGGGATTTCTAATTCTTGGGGATTGATGTAGTTATCTAAATGCTATGTGAACAAACTCACAATTTATCAGATATAACATACTGTATAAGATATATATTTCATTATATCTATCACCCATTTGAATATATTATACAGTATACAATATATGAATGATTGTATTTGTATTATATAATCATACTTTGCATGTATATTACAATGGTTTAATTCATAAAATGTGTGTATGTATATGTATGCATATATATACACACATATACATATACACATACACATTTTTATGAATATATATACACACAAACATACATACATATATAGACATATAGACATATATACGTGTGTATATATGAAAACGTGTATATATGCGTGTATACACACATACACATGCGTACATCTGTTTATATAAAAGATATAGAGGTATAATAGATGCACATGTCTTTGACCAAAGAACGCCGCTCTAGCGTCCCCTCTATGGCCCTCGCGGGACGCTCTAGCCTCCGCCTCGCGCACGACCGCCGCCGCCGCCGCTTCCTTTCCCCGCCCCCGCGGCGCCACGCAGCCCTGCCGGCCAATGAGCGCCGAGTCCCCGCCCCAGGCCCCGCCCCTTCGGATCAGCTGAGGGCTGGCCGGGTCTGTTGACAGCGGCGGCGGCGGCGGCGGCGGCTTCCCGGCCGACTGGAGTGGGGCGTGAGCGGCGGGGCCCGGCGCGGCTCCCTCGGGCTGCTCTTTGGCCGCGCTCCCAACGCGGAAGACGCCGGAGGGAGGCTCCGACCGGCCGCCCCCGCCTTCCCTGTGGGGCAGGACTACAGGTCCCAGCATGCACAGCCAGCGGGGGCTTGCTGGTCAGGGAGGCCCGGGAGGGGAGGGGCGGGGGAGGAGGAGGGAGACACCCCCCCCGAAGGGGCTGAAAGAGGCTGGGGGGGAGGAGAGGGAGGCCAGCCCACTCCCAGGACCCCCTGCCTGGAAAGAGGGGGCCGAGCTGGGCTTGCAGAAGGCGGTTCAGGCGGCTGGGAGGGCGTGCAAGCGTGTGCAAGGCGGACGAGTGTGCAAGTGTGCAAAGGGATGAGGAAGAGCCAGCGCAGCTGAGAGGGCTTCCTTAGCAAAGACATTTCTTTTCCCAAGTGTGTGTGTGTGTGTGTGTGTGTGTGCAAAATGTGCAAAGGGAAGGAGACGAGTGTGTAAATGTGCAAAGGAATGCGGAAGAACCAATGCAGCTGAGGAATATGAGGATGGAACTTCCTTATCAAAGTCATTTCTTTTCCCAAGAATGTGTGTGTGTGTGTGCAAAATGTGCAAAGGGAAGGAGACTAGTGTGCAAATGTGCAAAGGGATGTGGAAGAGCCAGTGCAGCTGAGGAATATGAGGATGGAACTTCCTTATCAAAGTCATTTCTTTTCCCAAGCATTTTTGCAAAGGGAAGGGATTAGTGTGCAAATGTGCAAAGGGATGTGGAAGAGCCTATATGGGGGATGGGGCTTCCTTAGCAAAGTCATTTTTCATCCATTATTAGTCACACACACACACATGCAAAGGGAAGGAGACAAGTGCGCAAATGTGCAAAGGGAATGCAGAAGAGCCAATGCAGCTGAGGATTATGGGCTCGGGGCTTCCTTAGCTGGATCCGTTCTTTTCCCAGACGAACGTGTGTTGTATAGGTATGTGTGCAGGGAGTTGTGCGTGAGTGTGTGTTGTGTGCGTGTACAAATATTTAAAAAGCTGGGCCCTCTCTCCAGGTTGTAGAGAAAATAGATGTCATTAGGTGTGTTTGAGTGGAGCATATATCTGTGTCTCTGTATAAAAGGCAGGATAAAAATGCCGTTGTGAGATTAATTTTAGCCTATATGACAATATCATGCAAATATGAGATAATCTAATTCTTATATTTGAAAGTGTGCAAAACTAGGAACTGGCAAGATCCTGCGCAGAACCTTCAGACTCCCAGCCACGCATAGCTCTGAGAAGGGAAATACCTATGTAAATGCCTATGTTTCAAATGCATATATTTGCCCCTCCCATATATATGGTTCTGGGCTGCTTACAATGGGACACCCCATCTTCCTATAGCTCAGCTTTTCAAACGCATGAAAGCGGTTGTTAAAACCCACCCCTCTCTTGCATCCAACGTATTTCTTCCCTTCCTTTTGCAGATGTAAAAAGTCCAGATGGAGCACATGGAGCTCGGAGGGCAGATACAACCCGTCGGAAAACCTCAACCTTGGGGGAAGCTGATCCGGTTGGGGGTGGAACAAGCCGAGCCCCACGTGTTGCTGATGAAAAATGAGTGGACGATCGGCAGAAAGAAAGGTGTCCAAAACTCTAGTCTTTCTTTTTTTAATAAAACAACTTTTATTAAACGATTGTTCTTATATGCAACATCATTTCCATTCATTACAACGCTTTTGTGACAGTATGCATACTTTTACATAAATCTTGACTATCTATACCCTTTTCTTGGTTGCTTTATCTTTATCCACTGTATCTTTTATCTTATTATCTTATTGCCTTCTTTTCTATTCAACTTTATATCTATTATTTAGCCAATCATACAGTACATTCCACGTCAAATAATAATCCGCTTCTTCTCTTTCCTTTATCTCCATGGTCAATTTATCCATCTCAGCGCACTCTAGTATTTTTCTTATCACATTTTCCTCTGGTGGCATGCTATCATTTTTCCAACTTTGTGCATGTTATTCTTGCTGCCATTAATAAACGTAGCATTAAATACTCTGTTTTCTTATCATATTTTCCCATTATTATACCTAAGAGAAAACTCTCCGCTCTTAATTCAATTTGTTGTTTATTTCTTCTATCCATTTTTTTTTGTCCTTATCCAATATTTTCTTGCTACAAACTCTAGTCTTGCACTCGTTGCACGGCACTTCAGTGATGAAATCATGTGCAAAATTGGGGGTATTGGGGAGAAATGGCAGGAGACTTTGTTGAATGTTCGGGTGAAATTAGCAAACTTAGCAATGTTCTTCTTTTTTTTTTTTTACCCCTCTCTCTCTTTCTATCCAAGGTTGTGACTTATCCTTCCCTGGCAATAAATTGGTGTCTGGTTATCACTGTAAAATAATAATGGATGAAAAATCGGGTCAGGTTTTGCTACAGGATACCAGGTCAGCACTGTTCTTACCCTTTTTCAGTGGTTCTTCGGGTCAAAACGAATGTGTCTTGTGTGTCTCTTTTGTAAGGCTTGATTTTTCTTTGGAAATGAGCTGGCTGGGTGAGCTTCCTTGTATTAATACAGGTGGTCCTCGGCTTAATGGCCACCATTTTGAACCCAACATTTCTGCTGCTCATCCGTGTGTGTGAGTCTGCGTACCGAGATGAGGTGGATCGGTTGCTTTCGTGATGTGGAGACAATAACTTGGTCCTCAACACTAACAAGACCAAGGAGCTTATAGTGGACTATAGAAGGAACAGATCAGACATCCAGCCCTTGCTTATCAATGGAAACCAAGTGGAGCACGTGGGCAGTTTTAAATTTCTGGGTGTTACCATAAAAGAGGACGTCACCAGCAGTTTTTCATTCAGCTGTTATTTTCTGAGAAGTCTCAGGTAGTCTAATCTCTGCTGGGCCCTTTTGACCAGGGCTGCAATGTGAGCACCCTCTTTTATGGTAACACCCAGAAACTTAAAACTGTCTACTTGCTCCACTCAGTCTCCATTGATAAGCAAGGGCTGGATGTCTGATCTGTTCCTTCTATAAGCCCCTTGGTCTTATGGGTGTTGAGGGCCAAGTTATTGTCTCCACACCACAAAAGCAACTGGTCCACCTCATCTCAGTAGGCAGATTCACACACACACACACACCGGAGGTGAGTCCCACCACTGTTGTATCAAATTCCTTTGTAACTTTGAACAGTCACTAAACGAACTGTTGTAAGTTGAAGACTACCTGCAGCGACATTAACCTAGATCAGCCGCGGTAAAAAGAAGACTGGATGACCATCTTACGATGATCATTATCATCTTTACGACAATTATGGTCATGATTTATCACTTATAACTTGTGTGGACAATGAGAGCTTCTGCACCGAAGACACATTCCCTGCGTGTCCAATCACACTCGGCCAATAAAGATATTCTGTCTTGATAGCATTTCTTACTTTCCCTCTGCAGCACGAATGGAACAGTGATCAACAAACAGAAAGTGGTGAAGAGACAGACCTGCCCTTTACAAACTGGGGACGTGCTCTATATTGTTTACAGGAAATACGATCCAGAAAACAGTAAGAGAATCTTATTCTATCCCCTGTAACGGCTTTATACAATAAGGGAAAGGATTTGGCAGCTTTAAGACGTGTGGATTTCAGCTCCCACTTCCTCAGCCCCAGTTAATGTGGTCAATGGGAGTTGGAGTCCAAAGGGTCTAGGGGAGTACCAATTTGTCTGCCCTTGCTTTGACTGTTGACCCATGTTGGCTCAACATGAAGTATTGATAGTTAACCAAGTTCTTGGTTACCGTTCAACACTATTGTATCAGGGCTGATTATGGGACCTTCAGAGGTTTGGGGTGCTCGGATGAAGGTCTTTTGGAGCTTAACGGGATGATCAGACTTACTCATTTGCTTGGTAAGAGTTTATAACGGAATAACTGATTTGGAAGGGACCTTGAAGGTCTTCTAGTCCAACCCTCTACTCAAGCAGGAGATCGTATACCATTTCAGACAAATGGTTGTCCAATCTCTTCTTAAAAACCTCCACTGTTGGAACACTCACAACCTGTAAGGAGGGCCATCTTGCTTTGGTCTGTTGAGCTCCACCATCTTCTCTTCTTTCAGATGTTGCATACCTGTACGAATCTTTGCACCCCAATAAGGATGGAGCTAATGATCCAGGAGGTGAGTAAAGACTAATGGCATGAAAGAATTCAGCCATGGACCTACCAAGGAAACATTTCAGCTCCTTGCAGGTCTCCTGACCTTGTTGAGGTCACACACTCTCTCTCTCTCTCCATCCCCAGAAGCCAAGGTTGACAGTGCGTGCCACACAACCAAAGATACCTCAAGCACCAGAGAAAGCAATGATGGGACCTCAACAGCATTGCCACTGCCAGCTTCTCGGACAAGCTATGAAGAACCGCAGCCATCCACTTCGACGTCAAACCTCTTCGAAATTGTTCCTACCTCTTCCACTGAGTCCACATCCACTGAGAAGGCGAACCCTTCAGTAGTTGGTAAAGGTTGAGCCTCTTTGGCCCAAGGTTGAATCATCCTTTGAAGGGTTGATCAAAGTATTGCTGGAGGTAGAAAGGGATGAACAGGCAAAGATTGGCTCAGGAAGTCTGTAGAGATTCTCACTCATCCAGGTCATGGTTGTCCCAAAGGTGGTCATTTGCATCCTTTTAGAGGGTCGTTGAAGCTACTTGGAAGTTTATCTGTGTCCTCAGGGTCACCTGAGTGGTGCTTCTGGTTCCTGTAGTCTGCAATTTTTGTCCTCTGGAAATCTGTTCCTACTCCCACACCATTCAAAGAGTGTTCATCCCAAACTGTATAGCTAAAAGTCTGTAGAGATTCTCCGTCATCCAGGTCATGGTTGTCCCAAAGGTGCTTTTTCAGGAGGCATCTGGGCTTGTTTTCCTTTTGAAGACGTTTTGCTTTTCATCGAAGAAGCTTCTTCACCTCTGACTGGATGTGGGGGGCGGGAAATGGAAGGGTTTATATTCCTTGCGGACAGCGGGTCATTTGCATCCTTTTAGAGAGTTCTTGAGGCCACTTGGAGGTCTATCAGTGCCCTCAGGGTCACCTGAGTGGTGCTCCTTGTTCCTGTAGTCTGCAATCTTTTTCTTTGGAAATCCATTCCACGCCATTCCAAGGGGCTTCATCCTTCCATTCCCCACTATTCTGTCAGAGCTGAAAAAGCTTCTTGGAGGAGAAGCAAAACATCTTCAAAGAAAAAAACAAAGTCCAGTTGCCTCCTGAAAAAGCACCATTGGGATTGGCTCAGAAAGTAGAGACAGGGAACTCTTCCTCCAGAGCAGGGGTCTCTAAATGTGAGGGACTTCAGCTCCCAGAATGCTGACTGAGGGATTCTGGGATTGGAAGCCCAGAAGCCTTATTGTGGTCAAGCTTGGAGACCCCTGCTCCAGAGTATTTGGTTGTGTCCAAAGATCCTTCACCATGACCCTCATTCTTTCCATGATTGCAGGACCCCAATCTTGCACCTTAATTTTTGCACCTGCTTTGATCAAATTGGTACCATCCGGACCAGAGACATTGCTTCAACTCAGTCAGCCTGTTGTAAATACAGAAACATCTGGTGCTTCTTTGAGGGACCCGGAGAAAACAGCCATGTTCCAGCTTTCGGGAAGGGAAGGAAATGATTCACCCTACCCCGTTAGAAAGAAAATCAGAAGAGGTTGGTATATAGGACGAAGTATTTTTGAGTTCTGCAGAGAGAGATTTGATACCTTCTTAGCAGCAGCTAAGATCACAACCCTTAGAACATGGAACATAGAATCATTGGGATCTTTGAGATCTTCTAGCCCAACCTTCTGCTCAAGGCAGGAGACCTTATACCATCCCGGTCAAATGGTTTTCCAGTCTATTTTGGACAATCTCCAATTATGAGCCCCCACAGATCTGGAAGACAAGCTATTCCATTGATTAATCCGGGATTGTGAACATTAAAGAGCTGCCCTCATTTCTGTGGCCAACACTCAACCTCTTGATTGTTGAGCAACAATGTGTTGGGTTCCATGCTGTCTTTCCTCTACATGCCTTCCCCAATGTGACATAAGAACCTCTCTTGCAGATGATGAAGCCAGCTCTGCCCTTCAGGTGGTCACCCCAGACGGACACGCGATGGGACCTGACCCCAGAGATGCCAAATCAGCAACCATGAAGCCTGACAAAATGGGAGAAAGCTTAAGCTGCATCATCTGCCAGGAACTGCTTTATGACTGTGTCAGGTATAGATGGATGGTCAGTGATCATAGGTTGACTAAGAGAAAAGAGAAAAATCCATATGAGCTGGAGAAAGTATGTCTGGTGGAAAAAATAAAGCGAAGAAGGTTGGATGGAGGGAAAGAGTTGAACTAGCTCATTTTCACCCCAGTAGAACTTCAAAGAGAAGCAGTCTTTGTCAGGAGGACAGTTGAGAACCTTGGTTATACCTCACCTGTGTAGCCATTGAATGGGATTGAGAATAGACAAGGTTGCCCTGCTGCCTCTATTTTTGTCTTGAAGCCCAAGAGCCAAATGTTGGTTCAACTCAAGCAGCGTTGAGTTGATTCAACTCAAGAGGCATTGAGTTGATTCAACTCAAGATGCATTGAGTTGATTCATCTTGAGAAGTGTTGAGTTGGTTCAACTGAAGATGCGTTGAGTTGGTTCAACTCAAGAAGCATTGAGTTGCGTTGAGTTGATTCAACTCAAGAAGTGAAACTCATGTTTCTTGGGAGGGACCTGTGAGTCACCTAGTGACCATAATGCTTAGGAAGCCAAATGCTGCTTATTGAGGTCTAAAGCAAAACAACCTGTGATTTCTGAATGTTGCTGAACCACGCACAGAGTCTGGAAGAAGCAGGCTGAATGGAGAAGACTGCTAGGGGTAATAGCCCAGGCATATTTGGAATGCTACAAGTTCTCAATTTCTAATCAAGGTTTAAAATTTGCACACACAGGTTGTTTTGGCTCTTTCTCCTCCTTGAGGACTCCCATCCTATCGGCAGTTAACCCTCTCTTTCTTCACTTGGACTATATGTCCAGTTTAGGTCCTTAATCCTTCTGCTTTTAGCTCCCTTAGGTTCCTCGCCTCACTTTCTGTAGGGTCTTTTTTCCCCCAAGCTCCACTTTCCCACCCAAGGGTTCCAATGCTCCTTTGCTCTGTGGCTACTTCATAGCCCTTCTCCCTTGTTGCGTCAGTTCCATGCATGAGCCATGGAACATTCTGAAACAGGCCTTCTGAAACAGGCCTTCTGGCTCAGCCAGTCAGTTTCCAATTTCAGTGGACAATGCAGTGGGCATTCCTGGTCGACCACCTAATTATATGTCAGCCACGTCATGAGAGCCAGTGTGGTGTAGTGGTTAAAGTGTTGGGCCGAAATGCCACCAGTTGAAATGCATTGGGACAAGACAAAATTCCAGACCTTCTCAACCATGCGTGTGTTTTGATTGTGAGAATTAAATGCACAGCCATTATACATGGCCATGAGATGAACCTTGATTAACATGTGAATCAGCAGTGAGTACTAACTTCCCATTTTTTTTTAAAAAAAGTTGAATTTTGTAATATAGGTGATTTGCTTTGATGGTGTATGGGGATGACCTTTGGAGACAGAAGGCGGTCTTCTAGCTGAGGCAGCAAATTTTCTTCCTGTCTCCCAAGACAGACAGACAGACACACAGACAGACAGACACTGACTGACTGACTGACTGACTTTATTGGCCAAGTGTGATCGGACACACAAGGAATTTGTCTTGGTGCATAAGCTCTCATTGTACATAAAAGAAAAGATACATTTGTCAAGAAGCATAAGGTACAACGCTTAATGATAGTCATAGGGTACAATAAGCAATCAAATCATACAAAGAAATAGTCAATAAAAATTGTTAGGATACAAGCAACAAAGTTACAGTCATACAGTCACAAGTGGGAGGTGAGAGGTGATAGGAACGATGAGAGGATTGATAATAATAGTAATGCAGACTTAGTAAATAGTTGGGCAGTGTTGAGGAAATTAGTTGTTTAGCAGAGTGATGGCTTTCGGGGGGAAAACTCCCCTTGTGTCTAGTTGTTCTAGTGTGCAGCGCTCTATAGTGTCATTTTGAGGGAAGGAGTTGAAATAGTTTATGTCCAAGATGTGAGGGGTCTGTAGATATTTTCACAGTCCCTTTTTGACTCATGCAGTATACAGGTCTTCCATGGAAGGCAGGTTGGTAGCCATTGTTTTTTTCTGCAGTTCTAATTCCTCTCTGGAGTCTGTGTCTGTCTTGTTGGGTTGCAGACCAAACCAGACTGTTATAGAGGGGCAGATATGACAGACTCAGTCATTCCTCTGTAGAACTGGATCAGCAAGGATTAGACTGTTGACCAATCAGGTCCTCCTTCAATTCATCTTTTTCTTCCCCCCCTCAATCTTCCTGTTTTTAGTTTGCAGCCCTGTATGCACACTTTCTGCGCTGCTTGCTACTCAGGGTGGATGGAGCGATCTTCCCTCTGTCCGACATGCCGCTGTCCTGTGGAACGGATCTGTAAAAACCACATTTTGAACAACTTGGTAGAAGCCTATCTCATCCAACACCCAGGCACGTGAGGAAGGTGGAATCTCTGCAAGCGTTCTTGCCGTTAACAATAGTCGGGTTATTTTTTTTTTCATCGTTAACAATTCAACATTGCTTGGAGGTAGGGTGATGTGTGGACGAACAACGAACCCAATAATTGGCACTCTGGGTCCGTTTTTTTAAAAAGGAAAATTGGGAATACTTTGGGAATGGACTACAGGTAGTCCTTGAATTACGACCACAATTGAGCCCTTCCCCCCCCCAAAAAAAAAATTCTGAGAAATTTGTTAAGTGAGGTTTGCTCCCCATTTTACGATTTTTCTCACCACATTTTGTTAAGTGAATCATTAAGCAACGTCGTTGTTAAGTGAACCTGGCTTCCCCATGGATTTTTTTCGTCAGAAGGTCGCAAGTGATCAAATGGCCCCAGGTCATAAATATGAGTCAGTTGCCAAGCACCTGAGTTTTGATCACGTGACGATGGGGGATGCTGCAGTGGTCGTAAGTGTGAAAAATGGTCGTAAGTCACTTTTCCAGTGCTGTTGTAACGTCGAATGGTCACTAAACCAGAACATCGCTCAACTGCTTTGGGACTTAATCCCAAGGAAGTGCCACTGAGATCCAAAGCGACAGTTGTCTATGGAGATTCTCGGTCATCCAGGTCATGGTTGGCCCCAAAGTGCTTTTTTTTTTCAAGAGGCAACTTGGACTTTCTTATTTTTCTTTGAAGACGTTTTGCTTCTCATCCAAGAAGCTTCTTCAGCTCTGGCTGGATGATGGGGAACGGAAGGATTGATATTCCTTGCAGACAGCTGGTCATTTGCATCCTTTTAGAGGGTCCTTGAGGCCACTTGGAGGTTTGTTCGTGTCCTCAAGGTCACCTGAGTAGTGCTCCTGGTTCCTGTTGTCGGTAATTATTTCTCTGGAAATCCATTCCTACTTCCACACCATTCAAAGGAGGTTCATCCCAAACTGTATAGCTAAAGGTCTGTAGAGATTCTAGTCATTTGCATTCTTTTAGAGAGTTATTGAGGCCACTTGGAGATTTGTCTGTGTCTTCAGAATTGCCCGAGTAGTGCAAATGGGTGTGGAGCCTTCTGCATTTACAACACAGTCCTTTCAGCAGTTCCAAGACGTTTCCACACCCATTTATACTATTCAGGTGACCCTGAAGACAACCTCCAAGTAGCCTCAACGACCCTCAGGAAGAGTACTAATGACCAGATGACTGCAAGGAATATAAATCCTTCCATCTTCCACCCTTCAGTCAGAAACCAAAGAAGCTTCTTGGATGAGAAGCAAAACGTCTTCAGGGAAAAACCCAAAAGTCCACTTGCCTTTTCGAAAAGCACCTTTGGGACTAAGCAACAGTTAGTTCTCTGACCTGCATCTTGACCATAACAAAAGTCTCTTATCTTTCTAGATAAGTGTCGTAACGAAGAAGATATTAGAAGTATGGATGCCCGGAACAAAATCACTCAGGACATGTTACAGCCGAAGGTGCGAAGATCCTTTTCAGATGAAGAAGGAAGTTCAGAAGACCTGCTGGATCTGTCGGATGTAGACAGTGAATCTTCTGATATTAGGTAAAAAGATCACGTGGGTAGCGGATCTGTCTCGGTGGGTTGCCTTAAAACCCAGGTGTCAGCATTCCAGGTAATAACACCCATAGCAAACAGAACTCCGAGGCAGGTGGATTCCTCAAAGAACAGCTTTATTTGGAGAGATCATATTGGCACAGACTGGTGAAAACCGACTCTAAAGTTTCCCGCGGTTTTCACCTAATTAAAAGTAAAAGTTATTCCCACTTTCCCAGTCAGTCAGTCCCATGGTCCAATCAAGGTGCTGTCCAGTTGCTTGGAAACTTGACTCCTCCTCTTTTCAGCCACCCGTGGGGGAATGTCCTTGGTTCTCAGGGGAAACTATTTTATTTTGGCTACAAAAACCCAGCTATCTCTCTTCCTCGCCTCCTGATCCTTCAGAAGCACCATTGTGGCACACACCGAAGCCTCCAAGATGGCTCCTCAGTCAGGCCAGCTTCAGTTGACTCCAGGCTGATGTTCTCAAATTTGTAAAAAACCATTTCCATAAAAGCAGAACAGGTAGTCCTTGACTTCTAACAGTTCACTGAGTGACTGATCAAAGTTAACAACGACACTGACAAAAATGAATTGGGACCGTTTTTCATCTTTACAACCGTGTAATCCCCCTGGTCACATGATCAGAATTTAGATGCTTTGCAACCGGCTCATACTTACGACGGTTGCAGTGTCCCGGGGTCACATGATGAACATTTGTGACTTCGTTGGCATCCCCTTTCTGATAACTGCAATAGCCCGTTGACTTATATACCGCTTCACAGTGCTTTCCAGCCCTCTCTAAGTGGTTTACAGAGTCAGCCTCTTGCCCCCAACAATCTGGGTCCTCATTTTTCCCACCTCAGAAGGGCAGAACGCTGAGTCAACCTTGAGTCAGTCAGGATCGAACTGCTGGCAGTGGGTAGAGTTAGCCTGAAATCCTGCATTCTAACCACTGGGAGGGAGGGAGGGAGAGTAAGAACAGAATCTGTATTGTTAAACAAATTAAATACCCAGAAAAACACAATGTTTATTAAGCAATTGTAAAAATGTAATAAATATGAAATTAGTAAAATTTATTTTTAAAAAAGCTGCTCCATTTTGCAGCGTCAGGGTGGGACTTGTGATCTCGGAAGAGAGATCAAAGTAGGAAAATTAGAGTCCAATTAAAGTCTGGCAGCCTGAACGACTTGATTATCCAGCTCTGTTTTGCATTGCCTTAAATCTCTTCCTTAAAAAGTTTACAGATAGAGAGATAATCCTTGACTTACGATCACAGTCGAGGCGAGAATTTCCATCGCTAAGCAAGGCAGGTGTTAAAGGAAGGACGCCCGATTTTACGACCTTTTTAGCCACCCTTGCTACGCAAATCCGCCTTCCTGAATTGACTTCGCTTGCACTAAGCTGGCTGGGAAGGTTGCAAATTGGCAGTCACGTAACCCCGGGAATCCTGCAAGCGTCAAAAAAAAAAAACCCTGTGGGATGCCAACTGCCCAATTTTTGACCTGGTGACGTTGCAACTTCAAATCTGGGCCCTATGTAAATCCTTCATATCTTGGTCTCTTAACAACTGGTTGCAAGTCAAGGACTACCTTGTAGAAGTTTCCAGACAAGGAAATCACACAATGACAATTGAAGTTGCTGCTTAACAGAATAACAGAGTTGGAAGGGACCTCGGAGGTCTTCTAGTCCAACCCCCTGCTCAAGCAGGAGACCTTCTAACATTCCGGACAAGTGGTTGTCCAGCCTCTTCTTAAAAACGTCCAGTGATGGAGCACTTACAATTTCTGGAGGCAAGCAGTTCCACTAGTTAATTGCCCATTTTGTAAATGCTGTAATGAACCAGTTAGACTTCAAGGCGACTGGAGGCTATTTGGGCTGGACCAGAATTTAGTTTGTGGCAATTACCTCGTCAGTTTCATGAACGTGACTCTCCTTTTTTTTTTTTTTGCAGTCAGCCATATGTCCTATGCCGGCAATGTCCTGGTTATCTTCGGCAAACCGTCCTGCCTTTAACCTTTCCCGAGCAGGAAGAAAATGCAGCACCTGGGCAGGTTCCTGGAGATTCCCCATCGACTTCTTCCAGCTTCCCAACAGGTGAGAGCATCCAGGTATTATCTTCTGGGGTTCGAAAGGTGAGGTGGGGCTTGTACATTTCTGACAAGCATATCAAGATCTTGGCTTCTCTGAAAGACTCCTGGTTTTTCTACGGGGTGCACCATTCAAACATGAATTGGTGCTGTTTGTTCTGCCTTTGCATAATATTTCTGACATTGCGCTGTGCTGGTGTGCATTTGTGTGCTCCAATGCTGCACACAATCCTTCTTGGAAATAGTCATTGGAAGTAGAGAACGGAGATGAGCTTTCTGCAACAGCAAGGCAAGTCGTTTAACGTGGGAGCTTCAGCACTGGAGGCTTTCAAGGGGAGATTGGATGCCATTTATCAGGAATGGTGTAGGGTCTCCTGTGTGATGACCTGGGGTGTGGCACAAAGGCAGCACAGCCAGATAAATAAGTATGAGCTCCTTTATTAGCTCCAACTTTGCCCCCAACGTTCCGGTTACTCTCCGGTCTGGAGAAAAACTTACCCACTAACCTGCAACAGCCTTTGGCTGCAGATACTTCAGTCCGAACGTTGTAAACAGAAAACTTCAAATTATAAATCCAACAAGGCAAGATAAGGTAATAAATCCCGCAGAACAAGATAAGGAGTTCCAGAAGTGAAGTAACACGGCAGTAAATCAAACCAGTTGGGAGGATGCCAGGAACTCAGATAACAGCAGCCAACACTAGGTGTTTGTTCCTGACAACTACCCCCCCATCTGACTCTCCTTTAAACTCCATTCCCAGGTGTGCCTTGTGAAGGGAATCAGGGCCCTCTCCTCCCTCGTAAGCCATGCAACCCGCATTGCTCCCTTCTTTGTTCTTCCCTGCATGCCCTAGGATGAAGAGGGAGTGGGCCTGGGTCTTCCTCCGAACCCCCTCTCCCTTGTTCTACCTCTCCCCCTGCTCTGCCCAGCCTGACTTTGCCCTTCCTCTTTGGTTTCCTCCACAGCCAACGGAGCCACTCTCCTGCTCCCTGTCAGCTGTTCGTCTTCCTCCTCGGATTCAGACTTCGATGGGGGCATGACATCCTGCTTGGGCGGGGGGTTGGAGCAGATGACCTACACGGTCCCTTCCAACTCTGATAATCTATGTGATGCGAAATGCTTATCAGCGGCTGGATCTGAAACCGTTTTGCACAACCTGTTCGTGGTCATTTCTCCTCCCACAGCAGTCCAGGAATATGTCTGTCCAGCTCAAGGGAGCCACATCTTCTGCACTTGCTGCTTCCAGCCCATGCCGGATCGTAGAGCGGAAAGGGAACAGAACCCGAACATCGCCCCACAGCAGTGTAAGCAAGAGAGCTTCCCCGGGGAACATGTGGGCCTTTCAACCTGACCAGCGATGGAAGGAGAAGCAGATGTCTTGAACACCGCCATGGCTGGCCAGCCCAACTTCCTAGAAGCCTTTTTTCTTCCACTTCCTACTCCATCTGTGGTCAGATCTTTAGTTAGAGCCAGGTCTAGTGGTTAAGGCACCAGGCTGGAAAGCCAAGGATGGTGGGTTCTAGTCCCGCCTTAGCCATAATAAAAGCCAGTTGGGTGACTATGGGCCAATCTACCAGGAGATGGTGAATTCCAGTCAGTGATGGGATTCTAATTTTTTGACTAGTGGCTCTGTGGGCGTGGCTTAGTGGGCGTGGCTTGGTGGGCAGGGCAGGGGAAGGATACTGCAAAATCCCCATTCCCTTCCCCACCCAACTGTCAACTATAGATGGATTAGATAGCTAAATCTTCTGCCGCGAAAAAAATCTAATTGGAGAGCATTGATTGATGACTCTTGGCTATGGACAGTTTTCATTGGACGATACACCCAGAGGGGCGGTGGGGGGAAAGCAGGATCAAGGGTGGCAGTGAATTACGTATCTCAGAGTTGGCTACGCCCAGGTTAGTGCCGGACGTAGAATGGTAGCTTCAAATAAATCCCCTTTTGTTTTGGGAGCGTGGCTCGAGGCTCAGGTTTTAATCGGAGTAACTGCCGGAACCCTGATACTAACCTGCTTTCCAGCTCCGTTCTCCTGCGCAGGGCAACCAAAGAAGACACAGCCGATCAGCTGGGACTCGATGGGAGGCAGAGAATAGATGGGGTTGGCAGGGCCAGCCGGAGGCAGCATTGGCCGGTTCTCCGAACTACTCAAAATTTCCACTACCAGTTCTCCAGAACTGGTCAGAACCGGCTGAATACCCACCTCTGGTTCCAGTCCTGCCTTAGGCATGAAAACTGACTAGGTGATACTGGGCCAATCACCAGGAGACTGGGAGTTCTAGTTCCACCTAAAAATGTTGATGATATTTTCAGTCCGGGTGGGTAGGGGAATCGTGCCAGTAGTATATCTATATATTTTTCTTTTCCATGCTCACAGGTACCATTTGTCTGCAGTCCTTCTGCCATCTGTACTGGGGATGTGTGCGCGTATCCTGCCTGGGCTGTTTAGCCCCATTCTGTGGTATGATCTTGTTTGCAATCACCCCCTCTTCCCCCCTTGCAAAAACCAAACTGTTGTAATTTATTGGCACTTAGGATATTCTTCCGCTCCTAGGGGTGCAAGACTGCCTTTTGCAAGAGCATTCTGACCCAAACCCTTTTCCAGTAACACAAACACGAACCAAAGGGAACAGAAACCTTTTAATGAGTCTTACGAATCCCCGGTTAAAAGACTGCTGCAAACTAATTAACTTTGATAAGCACAAACCTCGCCAAAACTGTGCGAGGCTGCCAAGAATCACAGATAAGAAATATTTCACAACACAAGCGTCTTCAAATACCAAATTAAGATGCTGTAATGTCCACGAGGCTGAGTTTAAAAACGTCTTTGCTTCCTGCAAAGAACGTTCGCTTCACAGCTGGCTTTTATCTGTTTGAAGGAGGGGCCATTACCTTGTAGCCTTACTCCTGAGTCGCCTGTGCTGTTGCAGCTGCTCTTTCCTGAGAGCAATCCTGCGCGCACACGCACTTGGCACAGGCTCCTCGGGAATCTCCTCATCGCTGCTGCTAGCCCCCACAATCTCTGAAGGCAGCAGTCCACTCCCTGATGGTCCTGGCCCCTCATCTGATCCTCGCTCCCCTCAGCCGTCCACACCTGCTGCCGGCTAACCACAACAAAGAGGCAGTTAGCTTCCACGAATAAGTTTTTACCACAAATAAAAACTGGCTAAATGAAGTAAATAGAATCCCTGTTCCTTAATATACAAATACAATACAATACAATTCACTATACAGAAGCCTGATGATGGCAGATGAGATTCTGCCGAAACGTTGCTACAACTTTAAAAGCACAACTACAATGACGTGGGAAAATACGCGAACAAAACTGAATACATAATATAAAATATATTAATATATATATAAAATATAGGATAGAGCCTTGGTGGCGCATTGGTTAGAGTGCAATACTGCAAGCTACTCCTACTGCAATTTGGCAGTTCAAATCCCACCAGGCTCAAGGTTGACTCAGCCTTCCATCCTCCCGAGGTGGATAAAATGAGGACCCAGATGGTTGGGGGCCATAGGCTGACATTATAAACGGCTTAGAGAGGGCTTTAAAGCACTATAAAGCGATATATAAGTCTAAGTGCTATTGCTATATACCGGCAGCATCTGTTTTGGGAAAACTGCAGCTCAGTCCTAAGACCTGCCTAATTCAGTAAAACACCTTGCAAGCCTCTTCAGGGTGCTCAAAATGTTCTTTTTCTTTTCTTTTTTAAACAGAACTCAACCTTGGGGACAAGTGTTTAGACGGCGTTCTTAATGGCAATAACTATGAATCAGATATTCTAAAGGTATGGGCAAGTTTGCAAAAGGTTGAGGGTGATAATTTTGGGGTTGCTTTTTTGAGATAAGCATTTTGTAAAAAAAAAACAAAAAAAAACGCCCGAGCTCCACTCTGTTGTTTTAGGGATGGTCACTTTTATTCTCGCCTGTTCCCGAGGAGTTTCAAATCTCCACTTGAAGTTCTTTTGAACAGTTTTAATTTTAACCTGTCTTCTCTTCTAGGATTACTTGCAATCTAGGGGGATGACATGGAAAGACATGCTGAATGAAAGCCTCCTGGCTCTTCAAAAAGGAACTTTTATTTTATCAGGTAAATCTTTCTTTTCAAAAAAGTTTTTTTTAAATTTTATATGTACAATAATTCCATTCCATTTCAACCGTGTGTCGACTAGGTAAATATTTCATGTACTTACAATTATAGTGAATACTTTTCTTACCAATATATCAATAATCACATTTTCTTATACATTTTATACATCTTATCTAATATATCTATTTTTAGCATCTTATTACTTTATATATTCATCTAATAGAATAGAATAGAAAGAATGAAAGAATAGAATAGAAAGAATGAAAGAATAGAATAGAATGAAAGAAAGAATAGAAATAGAAATAATAGAAATAGAATTCTTTATTGGCCAAGTATGATTGGACACAAGGAATTTCTCTTGGTGCATAAGCTCTCAGTATACATAAAAGATACATTCGTCAAGAGTCAAGAATCATCAGGTACAAGACTTAATAATAGTCATAAGGTACAATAAGCAATCAAATCATACTAGGAAACAGTCAATATAAACCGTAAGGATACAAGCAACAAAATTAGAGTCATACAGTCACAAGTGGGAGAGGATGGGAGATACGGAGTGACGAGAAGATTAATAGTGATAGTAATGCAGACTTTGTAAATAATTCATGTAATTTGTTTTATTTTCAAACCATTGATAAAAATAAATCCCATACCATGTAATACTCCATTTCTTCTTTTTCTTTAAATACCAACGTTCATCTGTTCCATTTCTGCACATTCCAATATTTTCTCAATTGCTTTCCCATCTTTCGGTATCTTATCGCTTTTCCAATTTTGAGCAAATAAAGTTCTAGCTGCTGTTAATACAAGTATGATTAAATAAAAATCTCGATCCCCCTCTAACCACGTATTCCTGAGAGACATTTTTCTGGATTCTGCTTCTGTTTAGTCCAAGTGTTAATGCCACTTTGTAACGCCACTCTGCAAGACCGCCCTTGGAATATTGTGTCCAGTTTTGGTCGCCACGCTATAAAAAAAGATGTTGATACTCAAGTAAGAGTGTAGAGAAGAGCAACAAAGCTGATTAGGCTAAAACACATGAAGAACAGTTGCAGGAGTTGGGTATCTCTAGTGAAAAGAAGGAGTAGGGGAGACATGGTAGCATCATTCCAATATTTGAGGGGCTGCCCCAAAGAAGAGGGAGCCAAGCTATTCTCCAAACCCCCTGAGGGCAGGACAAGAAGCAACGGGTGGAAATTAAATCGAGGAGAGAGGCAACCTAGAATTAAAGAGAGGTTTACTGACTGTTAGAACAATCACTTGGAAGGCTTGCATTGGGTCCTCCATCACAGGTTTTTAAGAAGAGATTGGACAGCCATGATCTGAATTGGTATAAGGTCTTCTGGTTGAGCAAGGGGGCTGGACTAGATGACCTCCAGGGTCCCTTCCAACTCTGTATTCAATCCTGTATTCAAATATTTGCAAGCTCACAAGGACACCTCCTAAGCCCAGCTCACCTGCCGAATTCCTTCCGAGAGGCTTATTCTTATATATGCTAATCGATCCAGTTCCCAGTGTGGTAACGGCATTGTACAGGGTTGTATGAATGGGTTCAGATGTACATTCATTTAGTGTCCAATTTATAAGAGGTAAGTTGAGGTCACCAAGGAAAATAAGAGGGTGTGGGCAAGAGGCTGCCCATGTCAGTAATGTAGTTAGCTTGTTTGCATGAATTATATCATAGTCAGGGGCTCGATAGCAAAAGTAAGAAGCAGATTGAGGTGTTTTAAGGACAGTTCACAGACGATGGTCTCGCGAAGAGCTTGTATAGTTTGGATCTTTTTTTAGATTTGGGAGACTTTTTATAGAATATCGCAACTCCACCACCTCTACGGAATTCGCGATCAGACCGATAAACTTGATACTCTCTTACAGTGGTAATGGATGCATTCAACCACGTCTCACAGACAAATATAATGTCGAATGTGGCTGTGCTTAGAAGGACGAGGAATTCGTGCATTTTATTCGCCAGGCTTCCTCAAAAGAATATCCTCAATTTTCTCCTTTCAGATTACCGAATCACGGGAGAAACAGTGATCTGTTATTTTTGCGGCCTGCGGACTTTCCGAGAACTCGCTTATCAGTACAGACAGATTATTCCTGCTTCGGAATTGCCAGGTAGGAGGAGAACGAGCGAGGCCCTCACAGAGCGATGGAGTCTTTCTTTTTTTTAACCATGTCTATTGGCTTATGATATTACATACCAACAAAAAACAAACAAACACAAAAGCAAATAGTAAGAAAAACAGGGAAGGGAAAAGTGTGGAAAAGAAGAGGACGAAAGAAAGAAAAGTTTGTAGAGATTCTCTGTCCTCCAGCTCGTGGTTGGCCCAAAGGTGCTTTTTTTTTTTTCTTGTTTTCCTTTGAAGATGTTTTGCTTCTCATCCAAGAAGCTTCTTGGATGGTGGGGAAGGATTTATCATTTACAGTTGGTCCTTTACATCCTTTTAGAGGGTCCTTGAGGCCACTTGGAGGGTTTATCTGTGTCCTCAGGGTCACCCGAGTGGTGCAAATGGTTCCTGTAGTCTGCAATTCTTTTTCCCCTGGACATCCATTCCTACTCCCACACCATTGAAAGGGTGTTCATCCCAAATTTTATAGCTAAAAGTCTGTAGAGATTCTCAGTCATCCAGTCCCTGGCTGTCCCAAAGGTGCCCTTTCTGGGGGCAACTGGACTTTCTATCCTGTCAGAGCTGAAGAAGCTCCTGCTTAAGCAGGGGGTTTGACTAGAAGACCTCTGTGGTCCCTTCCATCTCTATTCTGATTGAGTTGGATGCTATTATGGTCACAAACGCGAGGACCTATTTGTAAGTCCCCTTTTTTTTTCCCAACGCCATTCTATTAATTTTATTTAATGTTTTATTTTAGTATATTTTGTATATCCTAACTACCCATTCTCCACATGGAGGGGCTCTGGGCAGGGATTTAAGCTTTAAGCTTTTCAGAGTTTTAACTTTGGGACGGCTGCTGGTTGTAAATCAAGGACCAGCTGTAGCACACCTTTCCATTTTTTGCGCATGCAGAATTCTTGCTGCGGTCAACAATATCCCATAACACGTTCCAGATTGTTTTTTCCAAGTTCCTTGTTCAGTAGTCCTGAAAGAAAAATCTCTGGTTTCCGTTTGAGATTCCATTCGAGAACCTTCTGCAAATAAATCTGGGCCCCGATCTTATTTTACTTTTACCACAAGTCCACCAAAGATCACATTCCCCTGGGTTTTTTTTAGCCATGCATGAACTCTGTGGGTTTTTTGTTTTTTTTTGTCTTGCAGCCACCATCACATCCCGTCCCGACTGTTACTGGGGTCGCAACTGTCGTACTCAGGTGAAAGCCCACCATGCTATGTGAGTGAGCCTCTTCTCGAGCTCAGAGTTTGCAGGCGCAAAAGAGATAAAATTTTCTCATCTGGACCGAATAGAATTCTGTTGCTAATCTGTTTATCCACCTGAAATCAGTAGATTTTATTTATCAAATTTATTAAATAGATGGGCATGGAGTGAAGGTTATCTCTCTTCTGTCTATCTGTCTATTGCCTAAATTCCTATATCTATCTATCTATATCTTTCTATCCATCCTAAACTCTCTTCTCTTTTTCTCTCTCTCTCTGTATCATCTATCTCTATCCCCTCTATCATCTATCTTTATCATTTCTTTCTTTCTATCCATCCTAATTATTTATATCTATCTATCTATCTATCTATCTATCTATCTATCTATCTATCTATCTATCTAAGATAGATAGATAGATAGATAGATGATAGATAGATAGATAGATAGATAGATAGATAGATAGATAGATAGATAGATAGATTGATAGATAGATAGATAGATAGATAGATAGATAGATAGATAGATAGATCTATCTAATCTCTATCCCTTCTATCATCTATCTTCTATATCATCTTTCTTTCTACCCATCCTAATTATATCTTCTACTACTATCCCCTCTATATTTTATCTCTATCCTCTCTATCATTTATCTTCTATAGACTATACCATCTATCTATTCATCCTAATTCCTCTATCTCTCTTTCTTTCCTTCTTTCTTTCTTTCTTCTTTCTTTCTGTCTGTCTGTCTGTCTATCTATCTATCTATCTCTATCTATCTATCTCTATCTATCTAATCTTTATCATCTATCTTCTATATCAATCTTTCTTTCTATCCATCCTAATTATATCATCTATCTCTTTCCCCTCTATCATCTATCTTCTATATCATATCTATATCTATCATCTATCTCTCCTATTCTATTCTATTCTATTCTA